GTTAAATTTAGATTTAAAGAGGCTGGGGTTGTGGCCATTTTCAGTCTATTTTAATCTCCCTTAGAAGAAGAGCTCCATATATAAAGATATACAAAAATGATCAATTTTCAAAACTAAAAGTATGAGATTTTCCTTTGCTAAATAATAGTTGACAGCTTAAGATATCATATCTAGAAAAAAGTTAAGCTACATCTGATGGTTTATTTGTTGACCCTCAGCCTCCTTAATTATTTTCACTTATGTTCATGTTTGTCGCACTCTAGGCATTTTGCTAGCCTTGTTCGCCCATCTTCTTTATATATTTAATCAATGAGTTAAAAATAGTAGTCATGCAAAAGTATATATCGACTTCACAAATATTTCAGCTGTCTTAACATGCCTTTTATTTTTCTATTCGTACAAATATCTTTAGACGATCATTAAAAACGCAGAACTATTTGCTCTTGATTACTTTCTTATACTAATATCACGCTCTACTGATATGTTAGAGGGAAGTGCGCAGTGAAGGTTACTACGCAATAAAAGCTGTTGTGATGATTTAGCGTTATTTAAAAATAAATTACAAACAGGAAAAAAAAACGTGTATGTCCCCTAAAGGAAAAGTCAAATAATAATGGTATGAGATTTATACTTTTTTATACACTTCATTGATTGAAATTTTCCACTCAAGCGACTTATGATCCATGCGATCTGTGCAATGAAAACTACATTGATTTGCATGGAAGGTATCTTAATTTTTTTTTTTTTTTTTGGTAACCCAATAAAGCAACTAAGTGTACATTACTCTTATATCAGCAAAAGTTAAGAGTATAATACATTTTAAAAATGAGACATGTACATGGTACTCACTATACCAGCAAAGATACGCAAAAAAAGGGAAGAAGATTAGGGGATGTGAATTGTAAAGAAATGATTGTATCTTATAACATTTTGCAAACTTTGTAGAACTGGGATTTCAAGGAAGGAATGTTCCGTCTAGCCGGTCAGCATACAAGGCTCACGTTGGGCGGGACCGGTCAACAGGGGATGCTCACTCCCCCAAGGCACCTGATCCCACGTATGTGGTCCCAGAGTCTCTGTTTTTGTATTGTTTATAAATATTTTTGAGTAAATACGATTTCTGTTCGGTATCTTCACCTTTTTCATTCATAAAACTATACAGCTTTAAAAACTTTTAATAATCTACGTTTATCGTGATGTTTATAGTTTAAAAAAAAAGTTTTTACCTGTCCCAGCACGATATACTCCGAAAACATGAACAAGTTACATGGTCTCAAGTTCTAAGAAATGAAATGTAAGATTTTTACCTTTGTATACTCCAATTTTACGTTATAAATAAAAGTCACGTGACACAGACGATAACCTTTTCGGAACTTGTATAGCTTGCTCTCTGCTTAATAATCCAGCTGAGTTTGTCAAAACTTCGCTTTACTGATATCTTGAATAATTTTTTCGATCAATGATACAAATATCTGTTTCATAAGAGAAATATACGATTTTGACCCTCTTTAAGAGACTTCTTGTTAAATTTCTATGTTGCTTTTACAGAATTGGCTGTTTAGACATACTAAGAGATCACTTCATCCTGGCATCTGTCTGTCAAAGAATATGTCCAGAAAGGGTTGGACTTTAATTATGCCCCCGTAATCAAAGATTTGAGGGCATATAGCTTTCGGCCTGTCCGTCCGTCTGTTTTTCCGCAAAAAGTTTAACCTTGTCCATAATTTTTGAGTGGGTGGGGCTATGGTTCTCATATTTCATAGGTTCATATCTTGTGTCAAGACCTTTCTTTCGGCACCACAAAATTTGACCTTATGATCTTGACCTTGGAGTTTAAGCCACTTTCACCAAAATTTCCAAACATTAACCATGGCCATAAATATTGATTAGTTGGTGTATGGCTTTCATACTTCACTTGTGTCTTCATTGTGATAAGACCGTTCGATTGGATACTAGTTTAAAAATATTTTACCTCTTGACCTTGACCTTCAAGTTTGACCAACTTTTTAAAAAACTTGAACCTTGACTATAACTTTTGAACCATTAGTACAAGGATATTTATATACTTCACAAGTGTATTCTATGTTACTAGACCTTCCTTTGGATACCAACAATTTTGACCTTGGCATTGGAGTTTGCATCATCGTAAACCCACGGCCAATCTCGCATATGCTTATAACCGTATGCGAGATTGGCTGTGGGTTTCCGACGATGAGGAGTTTGGTCAACTATAAAAAACTTTGACCTTGACTATAACTTTTTGATTAGAACCAGGGGCTTTCATATGTCACAGTTTCTTCCTTATGAGTAGCTGCAGAACTGTAGCTCTCCGAAAAAATATATATTGACAGACCGGAGAGCTACAGTGCCACCCACTGAAAAAAAAAAACTGTACATTTTTTGCGCACAAAAAAGTGCACTAGGTTCGGGACTAATTCTTCATAATTATTAGCTCTATAGCAAAAAAAGCTAGATTTCAAAAAAGTCCTTACTCTTCTACCAATTACTCTCGTAGTTTACATCTGTACGAAGCGCGTTGGACCGAATTATCTTCAAACCAAGATGTCAGTGTAAATAGGCAAAATTTTCGATGATCTTAATTTCATGGCCAGGAGGGCAATTAAAAGCAATTATAAGGAATGTTTTGTTGTGGAAACAGTGAAAAAATATGTTAGGAACACATAGTTAGTAATATTTTGAGATGACCATTTTAAAAACATGGAGATATAAATCGAGAAACCGCGCACTTTTTGAGCGCAATAAATATACCATTTTTTCAATGGGTTGCGCTGTAGCTCTCCGGTCTGTCAATACACATTTTTTTTTGAGAGCTACAGTTCAGCAGCTACCTTATGAGAAGACCTTCCTTTGGATACCAACATATTTTGAACTTTTGACCATGACCTTGGAGTTTAACTCGCATTTGAGAAACTTCAACCCTTGCCATAAGCTGTCATATGGGGGGCATCACTATTTCATAAACACATTTTGTTTATATACTAAAAAAATTCGATAAAATTGATAGGCACGCGAACTCCTGTGCTAAATCTACTGAAACACCATTTGAAAGATGAATTCTCTTTTATTGCAAAGTTAACATGTACAACACTAGAGATATTCACAGAGATATCTATTAACAAATATTTTGATCACAATCCATTTAGCATTAACATTCATGTCTCACAATCAACAATAATATTCATATTCTTTGTGGTTGATTCCTAATACATGCATCTACCTGATTAAACAAAAGACAAGAACTATATAACTTTATTACTGAAATACCAGTATTCCTCTGGGATGAAAGTAAGACTCCAGATTTGTGCAACAAAAATGAATATTGCATGAGGCCAATTGTTGAAAGAGCAGTATGATTTTAAAAAAAGAAACTTAAAATACAAGTGCACCATAACAAGAAAACACATGGACAGCTAATCTCATTTCCTTCTAAACATTTTGAAAGTTTACTTTAGGATACAGTAGAATTTGCAAATAACAAAATTTTTGAAAGGTACCAGAGGTCACATGACTGTAAGACTGGTCCTCTTCTTTATTTTGTGATCTGATTTGTCAGAACTAGTTTACTGGTCCCCCATCCTTAACTTAAATTTGTTGATGTCTGGCTCCCTGAGATGAGAATTAGTCAGATCACAACACAAAAAATTGTTACAGCCTTTAAACAACAAAAAAGAACTAATTTAAGCGGAGTAAAAACTCTAAATATTTACTGATGACCGACAACACACTGTGAGTTTCATGAACATTGACGGATAGAAACAAATTGATGACAGATGCTGCCAAAGCCCCTGGAATGCAAGAGAGAATTTTTCAAAATATGAGTACCATGGTGGTCAATGGAGTCAGGTTTAACATATTTATAAATCATTCCACATTCCATTATGATACAGTGACCCACTCAAACAAATATAGCTTGATGATAATCTTAATGGTGCAATGTAAGGCTCCTTAGTGACAACAGAAAAACTATACCTCTACCTAAAACACATATCCCAAAATACCAAATATCTCTAACAGTCTGTAACAATGAATACAATTACCCAGTAAAACCTGGATAACACAACATAAAGTTTAATACAAGACATCTTTACATCACAATTACTTTCTAAATAAAAGAAATTTAGGTATTGATTCCTTTTTCCTTGCACAAGACGTCTCCCTTGCATTTGATGTTTTTGGCTTTAAACAGTGTCTGGTACCAAGATATCAATTATATGGTATATAAAATATCAAATATCATGGATATGAAATGGGTCCAAACAGGAGCAACAATATCAGACAAAGCTTCAACTTTCCAGTTTCAGAGTACAATGATTCCTGACTGTGGAATCTTTTTAATGTGTGGGGGTCAATGTTTGTCACATATGTGGGTAATCAAAATTTTGCTGGTACATGTAGATGTAATTTCCATACATAAACAAAATTATTGTTTATGGGAACGTAAATTTTTGGTAAAGGTGGCCTTTGAAATCCATGAAATTTGGTGGCCTACAAACAATGATGAATCCATCGTATCTTACAAACACATTTGAAAATTCAAATACATACAGGTTATCTCTTGATCTCGGTAAACAGTAGTCATATTGTAAAAGAAAAATAAATAAATAAATAAAAATCCATTTTTTGTTTCATGAGATCTATCTAAATAATTGAGACAAATTAAAATTGTTTAACAATTGATAAAACATCATAAAAACTGAGGACAAAAACTTCACTAACAACCTTACCATTCATAGCAATACATTTACAAGAAAACATTAGGTATTGTACCTGTGCTCAAAAAATATATTCCATGGTCAAATAAAATAATAAAGACCTGTTACACTGTACATAAAATATCAAAGCCTAGAAATACAGATTATCTCATACTTTTGTTGAGTTTTAATAAAACCTTCTCTTATTGTTTAACTAAATCCTACTGTCATAGTTTTATGTCATAGTTTTTGCTTTTATTGTTTTAGGGATTTTTATTTTAAACTTTATTTATTTATTTTCACTTATTACTATCTTCTATGTTTCTTTTCTAAATACTCTGTCTAAAACCTATAGGCAAGGTCTTAGAAATTTTTTTTTTATTTATTTGTTCATTGTAAGTTTGATTTTTCATTGGTTTCTGAAAATTTCACATTAGTCTCCCTTCAGCCCACTGACAAGAAATCAAGTTTGAACACATTTTCTTCATAAATTCCAACTTCTTATCACCGCAAAACTAAATCAAGCTTTTTTGCTTCAAAGTTCACTGTAATGCCATTTGAAAAGAAAATCATTTATATAATAATCACTCACAGTGGTGAACTCTCTCCAAAATAAAAAAAAAACAATTATCAATATTTCTCCTCATAAAGTTAAAAAAATTCAAAAGTTGATTATGTGGTGGGTATATCTTAGCACCCTCCTTTTTGTTAGACATGTATTTTTGTTACTCTTTAAGTAGTTCTTTACTCATTAAAACTAGTTTTATTGTGCTATTAAAATATCAGATATGCCAATGAAACTTTTTCCTTTTGTTGCAATTTACTAACAACACCAGAAGTTTCGATATATGTGTATAAAATTTTTTTTAAAAACTGTAGAACAATAGGCCAATGTTTACATTGAGAAACACTTGGCTCAACCAGAGAAACAACCCCTAATTCATAATAAAATTCCTGGGCACATGTCTTCTAAGAACCCTGTCTACAAACTGAGTGATCAGTCTTCTAAAATAACAATCATCGCATGTCTGTAAAAACATCAATCAAGCTTTTCAATCCATACAGATAGCCCTGGTCTGGCCCAGTGTGGACCGTGGTATCGTTCTGAAACCCACTATGGGTACTGTGGGCAAAATCGATCATCCGAACGTCCACAATGTTAGACTGGGCACTGGCCTCCTCCACGTCCTTGTCCTGTGAACGGACGTCGTACATGACGAGGAGAGAACTAGAGTAGAAACGATACGTGTCTAGAGACTGAACTTGTCGGTGAAGGTCTTTGAGTTTTTTAATGATGGAGTCCAGCAGGTCTTTCCTGAGCTCATACCCATTGTGAAGAAACTGGTGTAAGGTCTGTTTAAAGCCATCAACCCCCAAACTTCTCCCATAGTATTTATTTACACATATATATTTATCACTGTCTTCCTGATAAACCTGAAAAGATAATAATATTTCATTAAACATGTACTGGAAGAATAAAATAATCTATTTTGAACTCTTATAATGTATTGAAAAACATCACTGCAATAAATTTGGCATCACTTTGCTTGAAGTATACTTGAGTTCATAGTCAAATGTTTAGTTGGCTTATATACAGAATGATGTGGGAAACAGATATCAAATGGATATGAACAAACTGCTACAGGAAAACAAGCAAATGCTTTAGATTAGTTAAAATATTCCCTTGCCATAGCTCCTAGACTTGTTTTAGTTACCTGCAACTGTAGGATGGGGGGGGGGGGGGGGGGGGGGGGGGGGGTGGAGATGTTTAAAAAAAATTTTGTGCTAATTTCTATAGACAAAAATACGAACTTTACCAAAATTTTGGAATTATCTCTCTTTGTCTTTCCAAATAAGTAATGTTTTATGAAAATTCATATAAATATTAATAATCATTCAAATATGTTAACTTTCGAAAATTGACTTGGAGGTAGGCGGGAGAACTATCAGTTTTTACCTGCATCCCACAGACCCTGACCCCAAGGCTGCTGGAGGTCGTGTTCTGACATTTCTTCATGAATCTCTCCTTCTTGTCGGGGGAGACGTCATCTCCGTGTTGCCTGGTTCCCATCTTCAGGTCCAGAATGCTCGGATGACAGAACTGAGCTGCCACGTTCTCCAACAATATAAACTCTGAGGGTTTGTTAAGGATGGCATGTTCTCAGGGAAAAGGATCCAGCTGTTTTATCTTTAATTGCTGTACTTATGATAGAATACAGCTTAACACACACATCTCAAACTGAGCAAGGTTTACACAATGCTTCCACAATGGTTTGAGATTAAACTTGAATCAATTGAAGTTGTAACATCTACCTTCAAATATAATCTTTGTTTTTGACTAATCATTCAAGAAAATTTCAGATTCAAATTTTGCTTTCAGCCATAAAATATATATATTTGATGACATATTCAAAATATTTTTAGTGGTAGAAAATCCCTGTCTACATTTCAGAATGACTAATGACTAGAAAGACAGTAGTGTATTGAGGATACTGCAGTGTGTGACAGGGCCCTGGTTAGCTTTCCTCAGTTTGGACAGTGTCTTTTTGTGACACCTGAGACTCCAGGGGTTGATGTTTTCTGTTTTTCGGTCCGAGTCTCGGGAGTGGAACACCTGGTCCGTCTGTGTACTCACCTCCACGCTGCCACTCCGTAACAGTCGCAAACTACAAAATAAATCAAATTACGGATTTATCAAACAAAATGTTCCTCAGGAACTACAACTCAAAAAAATTGACTCAGATGACCAGGCAACAAATAAAGGAGGTCTTATAAAGATACATGAAGAATACAAAAACTTTTGATTTCAAATCTTTATAAAATCATTTCAGTAAAAATAAACTTTTGCATACCAGAATCCTATAAAACTTCCTTTTTTAATTAATTACACTTCTGATTTTTACAGGTGATCACAAAGCCCATACCTGTGCTGTCCCTCCTCTTTCTTATCTGTCTGCTGAGCCCTGCCTGCAAGGTTTTCACCGTTAGAGGATTTTTGCCATTTAGTTGACATAGGTAAACGACCCATGATGGTCACATACCCATCACTGTCCTCACGAATCTCCACTTCTATAGTTCCTACAGAAAAATAAATTCAGCTTTCAAACTAATTTACATTGTAATATTACCCAAGAGATGTTGAGATACATGTACAGTGAAACCTGTCTCATCTGATATGCACTGGGGGACGAATTTTTTGTCCGAATAGACAGGGTGTCGGATTGCACAGTGTAAAAAACATGGAAAATAGTAAAATTGTAAAGAAAGTTAACGCCAAAATTCACAGTGTGATGGATTGCACAAATGTCAGATTAAACAGTTTTCACTGTATTAAATGTGTGATCCAGAATATGTACAGTAAGAGACTGCCCAGATAAAAACCCACCTGTGTGAGCTGGTCACCACTTCAGCCTCTCATAAATCACTAAGTCTAATCCACAGATTGAACCATATATTTTCTAGGTCTACCATAAAACTATCAAGGCACAAAAATTATCTTTTCTCATTGATTTTAGACCAAGTTCTAGATCTCTTTTTTTTTAAAAAGAGCTGTTTGTTTGAGAAAGACATATATGAAACATTGGCATATTTTTGCCTGTTATTTGTCCTTTTTTAAGATTATGAAAGATTTTTTTATTGCACAAAAGTAAAGACAAAAAACATATTTATTATGTACTGATTTGAGAAATTACTGCTCTTTTTTCATCTTTAGGACATCTCTACCAGGTTTATAAACTGTTTAAACATTGGATCTGAATGTCATGAAGCGCTGTATATTAAATTAGAACTGTAGATAGGGCAGTGGGTTAAGAAATGTAATACATTGTGTTTCAGCAAACATGTCCTGACTATGCAATGATAATAAAAAAAACAAAGCATTTTAGATGTAATTATACAATAAAACCATGATGTTATAGTGAAATGTGGACAACTACAGTAATCATTTTCTGAAGGTCATTTTAAAAATACAGACTATGATCCAAGTCAGCACAGACAGAAGATAGTTGTGTTTTCAGGTCCTTACCTCTGAATTCCGCAGTGAACTGTTTGAGGTTGTGTGGAACATTGAGGTAGAAGTTGTATTCTCTGACATTCAGTGGTTTACACACCGTCTGGTCGTCAAATCGGAACATCCCCGTGTGTCCACTGACCTGGTGTAAAAATGGCTGCAGCGGCACCGATTCAAACTCCTCCCCCATAACACCACTGCTAGCTGGCATCCTCCCAAAAATGGCTGAAATTTACATTTATTTTCAATTCAAACTTTTAATTTCTAAAATTAGTTAAAAATTCAAAACTTAAAAACAATAACTTGGAAAAACAAAACTCCCTAAGCAATTTTATTACCAGTTAAAATTCTGGTTATACAACATATAAACAATATGATAACTGTTTGTGTTACTTGATTTTGATACTTTACTGAAGTAACAAGAGTACTGTGATACTACACTAGCATAACAATACGTGTACCATTGCAGCTCACAACAATACTGTGATATCTTTACATCTCCACTTCTACGAAAGCTTAGCGCGGCCAAGAACGAGGACAAACTCAGAGAGAGAGAATTATTATCAGGTCAGAGCCTTCATTAAATAGGCTAAAATACAGTACAGCATGACTTGTCAAATCCAGACAACACTGGTTTCAAAAAAATTGGTCGAATAAGACAACATTCCAGACTAGACAAAATTTTTAACAAATAAATTTACTGAAAAGGACATAAAGTTTACACCGTATTAGGCAAGATTTGGTATTATACAACATCTGAAATAGACAAGTTTCACTGTAAAAGATTTAACACTGGACTTCATGTACTACCTGTTTACTAAATTACTATTTTCTTTTTTAAATAATGATTAAACTGATGTTAGGTAGAATATATGCATTACGCAGTCAGTACACTTACTAAATGTTACTATTAAAGTATATACGTTGTGAGTAAAATTAAACTTCCTTTTCTGCATCAAACTATCAATGATTATCATATAAGGAAATATTTATTTGAGGAAATTATTTTTCTGAACACTGATTATTGATTTCTAAATTTTGATAAAATTGTGCTATTTATAGGTGTTTACAGTTTACACATATACTGAGTTTATTCATTCATTTTCGACATACTCCACACTGCATGTACATAAACTTAAAATTTTCTCATCCTATTTTAGTCTTAATTTGTAAAAAAAAAAAAAGATAAGGAGTGGATGAACCCACAGCCAATGTTCAAAAAAAGGGGGAGAAAAGAGTGTCATTTTGAAGGTCATTTTCAATTATTGAACATTATAGTTGTTATTGAAAACTCTCGATTTACCAAGTTCAGTTTATTTATAAAATACATTGTAAGAAAATAATTACTTGACTACACTTCAATTTTTTTTAAATGACTTTCAGCAGCTGTAATTTCCCATGGAGCAATGCATCTGAGTACAGCCACTAGAAAGTTATTTTCTTTTCTCAATCCAACATATTAACTAATGTAATAATCGAAAATACCAGAATTGTTAAGACTTGTTTGAATAATTCATGAAGCTCATCTGGTATTCTGAGATCCTATTGATAAGTTCTCACGAACAGGTTAGTTTGAGGCACTTCAAATGAGGAAATATTGATATAACTAATTGTGTGATCAATTATAATAATTTTAATGTATCTTCAAATCTCTCATTACAAAAAATCAAGGAAATGATAAATGTGAAAAAAAAATGTCATTCTATTTAACAACTATCATTTCATGTCAATAAACAGTCAAATCACCATGAAGATCAAACTTGACAGAATAAATAAACAAAATTCAAGGTGTGAAGATAATAGGTGTGCGACACATTTTGAAAAATAAAATGTTTTAAGAATACCCTTTTTCTTAGCTGCAGATTTGTAGCTCACCGGTCTGAAAAATTTGGGGTGGACGACCAGAGAGCTGCAGTGCCACTTGTTGAAAAGTCTATAATTATTACGCACAAAAAGTGTGCTGATTCTCTATTTATTTCATTTATATCTTGAATATTACTAACTGCTTGTGTATTCTCTTACTTCTTCCAGGATAAAACTGAATGACAAGTCATGTAGGAAGTGCGATGGACTGAATGATCTTGCCATCCAGAGTAGCAGTATAAAAAGGTAAAATTTCAGATGGTCTCACTTTCAGGCCCAGGAAGACTATTAAAAACATTTTGGAGAATGTTTTTTTGTGGTAATAGTTAAATTATATGTTAGAAACACATGGTTAGCAATATTTTGAAATGGCAGCATAAATAAACAAAGAAGTAAATCGAGAAACAGCACATTTTTTGTGCACAATAAAATACTCTTTTTTCAATGGGTGGCACTGTAGCTCTCTGGTCGTCCATCACAATTATTCCAGACCAGTGAGCTACAGATCTGCAGCTACCTTTTTCTAACCTGAACATAAACCATCTGATTTTGATGTGTGTTACCTAAGTTTTTCATTAATTGACTTCTCCATTATACTTCATACAATTCTGCCTTAAACCTGTGCATCAGTGCAATATGATATCTCCCATGAAACATAATGTTAAATCTACCAATGAAATGAGATACAATGTATTAGATGTCTAACCTATGCCTGTTTGTAAATGAAAAGCTGTTGCCAAATTTATATTGATTTGCATTTTTCTTTGTACGAGTTATATAACCATGTAGAATAATAAATGGAAAAAAATCATTAAATCAAGGAAGACTTGTGTACCAATTCAATAAAATATGAGTCCTTCTTCTATAACTTCCTTCCATTATCCTCAAGTTTCTTTTATCACTGAAAATTCAGTTATTCAGCTTTGAAAACTTACACAAACAGAGAGCTCAGCAAGCAGAACTAAAGGTATTTTGAAGTTCCAGTATGTGGCATTGTACTTACAAATTAGCTGACACAGCTAACTGAAAAAAGCTGGAATGTCTTCAAGAAGCAGTAACACTTAGACAAGAAACATCTACACCGTATCAACTGTTTACTTCAATTTGAGTATTGGAGGTGCATGTCGTGTACGTCCTTGACAAGAGACATTTACATCGTACTATTTGTTTACTATCAGTTTGAGGAGAGTGGGCGTGTCCCTTGTCCTTGAACTTTATATCTGTAACTATCTCTGGACATATTGATCTAAGCAGTACTGTGTGACACATAACTCCTATCAATTAGGGTTACTGATGATAATTACTAAATGACCCTTAGAAAAATTGTGTCCACAGACAGGACATTTTAACTAAATAAATGCTGACCTTATCATACCACAACTATGATGATCTACATATCTAGGAGATGAATTCTACTGATGAGTGATGACAAATACCAAAATCAGACAGATAGATGTGAAAATTTATAATCAACAAATAATACCATGTGAGCAAATTATAATTAAGCTGGAAACATTTAAGAGATTGAAATTAACATAGTTTTAGTTATAATTAGGAGAAATAGATTGATCATTGACATACAGGAATAAGACATGATCTTAGAAGAAACGATTGAGGTCATAAATCACAAAGATTCTAGACTCTAAAATACTGACATTTATTCAGGGAGGACATAAGTTACAAACTGTCAACATTTTTTGTTATGGTATTGTAATTTCTGCTAGAGATGACTGTATACTCTCCCCCAATCCCCCACACAAAATAAATTGCAGTAAGTTAGGGAAAAAGTACAATCTTTGGGTTGCTCTTTTTAAAATGTGTTTTTCAAATACTATTTCATATGACAGGTGAAAAGAAAGGTTTTCTAATGAAAATAACTAACATTGCCCCTTAATATAGAAAAACTGCTTCTTTTACGAATTGCATTGGCACATTCGACCCTAGCTTACAGCTTGGTAGTTTGGGATCAATATAACTTTATAGATAATGATAAATCAAAGCATTAGTTTAGTGATTTACACCAATTATCTTGCAAAACGATAATTTTCAACATTCACTTTTTCCTAAATAGAATTATCTAACTGTGTATCTGACTCAGGGCAGGCCCTCACCACAGTTAGAATTTACCAACCCCCTCCCTCCCCACTATATATGGTACCAGCAATGTAGATAAGCAGAAATTGCTCCAAAATGAATTGAGAAAAGGAATGAAGTTGCAAGGAAAAAGACATGAAATTAATAACAGACCTTTTTTCACTCAGTAAAGACACTTCTTACCCCCCCCCCCCCCCAGTCAAATTAATCCAGATAATGAGGAAAGAATTCAGCACACTTTCTCAAAGTTTTTACTTGCTTCAAACCTACATGAAGTGTTTACATTGGGAGCTCTCGACTGATCATAGTAAATGCACTGAGGTAAAAGTTCTTGCATATTGTTTGTTTTGTCATGATGCCTATAATACATGGAACATAGTTGACCATTAAACCGGGATTGCAGGACATTATCATTTTTAATGATTAGTTTATTCATCTAAACCCCTCTAAGAACTGTGACAGATTGGAACCAGATGGAAGTGTTATTAACTTTATGGTGGCATATTTATGCCATCCACATAACTTTTTGTTAACATAGCATATCATGCCAAACCAAGATAACTGTCTCGTCAAGTCATGGTAACTTTCTAATTTGGCGACAGATATGGACTTTATATCTTGTCAATGTAAGCTATCACATTAGTTGCGATAGCTTTCTTGACATGATGAGATAACTTATCTTGCATCATAAATAAAATAGCTATCGTAAAAAATATGACTGCTTATCTTGATTGGACAAGATATAAAGTCGGCGTTTGTCGACAAACAAGAAAGTTATTATGACTCTATGAGACAGTGATCTTGATTGGACATGATATGCTATGTTAACAAAAAGTTATGTTGATGGCATAAATATGCCACCATATAACTTATAACTAAATAGTTACAAGTGCCAAGACAGTGGCTACTTTCAGAGCAGCCACCAGTGAAACTGCAGCAAATTCTGCATTTTATGGTGATTAATTCCTAAAAATAAGCAACAAAAAAATACTGCAATAATATTTAAGAAAAATGCATTTTCTATGAAATATATAGTAGAAAAAATAAATTATGAATCACTTTAGCCAGGTACTGTACTTTTTTTATTTGGTCAAGTGGTAATTTGTTTACCAGTAGGTTAATGGATCCGAACATCATTATCAATTTTATTTTCAAAATCAATGTAAGAATTACCTACAAATTTATGATTATAATTCAGATGGTATTTAAAATACAGATGAGTATTTCATGCCTCTAAAATTAAGCAATACTTCTCATTGTAGTATTTCAATGAAGATATTAAGCTTTAGTATTCGACAACATGAATGAAATAAGGATTTTATCAAAATTTTTAATTTTTTGACAAGTTTCTTTCATATAACAATTTAGCATTTAACTTACCATGAAGAATATATGACGCTAGTTTAGTTGAACGTATTTGCAGTTAGATGCTTCATATTACCGGAAGTGACACAAACACCATAATTATTCCGAGCCCGACTTTTTTTAAGGTCGATCGAATTTTCAGAGATCTACTTTCAGACATTTTTCATAATTTCTGAGGAAAAAATTATAGTTTGATGTTTTTTCAATTTCAATGAGGTCGTTGTTTTCAAATGAATTAATGATTGATCACAAGTGGCAAATAAAACTTGATAGGCTCATAAGGACTAGCCTATAAGATCAATATTTCCTCATGGCATTTTCAACGTTTTAACAGCGAATTAGAACAAGGTTGCTAAAATGATAAAATCCCATAATCCTCCTTTTTATATAAACCATATTTAATATGACAGTTTTAAATTTATGACTGAGGAGGAGAGCTGTAGAAAGTCGCTAAACTTGGTCGTTTTTTTCAGCTACTCATTCTCACTGGCGGATTTAGAGGGGCTCAGGGGGGTGGGGGGTGGGGGCTTTTTTTGGTCCACTTTATACAAAAGATTTAATAAATCAGTTTTTTTGATGTGGGTTTGGACCCTACCATGCCCCCAAACTGTTTGCATCCTCTTTCTACATTCTTGGATCCTCCACTGATTCTTATAGCAAATACTAGAATACGAAAACCATCTTTCAAATACTCACAGAGCTGATGTCAAGTTCACAAATAGCAATAAAAAGTATGAAGATCTGCTCGCATAATACACATGCAACAGAGCCATTTTATTACTCCATTGCCCCATCCAGAAAATGAGATGTCCTCATATCTTTTGGGGTGCCAACACATTTGGTTCGAAGTTCTAGGAGCAATCACTCTCATCCGCCAGAGAACATACCGGTTCCGACGTGGGCGCCAAATGTAGCGTAGCCATTTGATTGCCTCTGCTGGGGATTGAACCCGAGGCCTCTGGCTTGCCAGTCCAGTACCCTACATATTTGATTAACTAAAGAGTTAACCTACAAGCTCAAGCTAGTAGCTAGGTTGCAATGTATCTTACACTACTACTCTCAAAACTGGTAATAAATACTTCCTTTTTATCATAAAATGTACATTTTTATCATTTGAAGAGTTCGATTGTATTTTTTTAAAGGTACACCCCACGCCTTAATGGTGGTACATGTAAATACATTTGTAGTTAAAGGTATGAAGATGCGGACACGTAGCATCGGCCCATTTTTTTTACACGTTTTACAGAAGAAAATGCACCTAAAACAATCCGTCTTTTCCTTTACTTCAATATGCCAATAAAGGAATTGACGCGGTTAATATAAGTAATATTCTTAATCACAAAAGGGTCCAGTATTGTATTCTACCATATTTCAAGTTAAAAGATTACACCTTGTATTTCCTACAAATATACATCGACCATTGCTTCACTTTTCAATTTCAAAAAACTTTACATGGCCTGGATACTGAGTATCTGAAACACAATCCTCCATCATGTTCATGTTCTTTCTCGTCATATAACTATAGTCCTGCTGGACACATTATTACAGGTGACATAAATATAGTTAATAATGAGGACTTTAAAAGGTCTTAAATATAGGGTACCCCGATCCTTCAACTGGCGTCGGAATTTCATAAATATTACTACATTTTATATAGATGTATTTTCAATCCCAAAGGCATGGTGGGATCTCCATTTCCTTTATTGACCTGAGTGGTAGCGATTTTCAGAAGCCTGTTTATGTAGAAAGTAAAGAGCAGTGGTGAAAGAAGACATCCCTGTCGCAGTCCTTTTCTTTGAATTCCATGCAAAGCATTTTATTTGGAATGCCATATATTCTTAAAGCAAAAATGGTGTCTTTAAAAGTGATTATCCAATAATTAAACGTTCTTTCTTTTAGCTCATGAATAGTCGTGACATATGTTTAATTGTTTGAAGTAAAAAATATCCTGTATATTTTAAAACAATGAAATACAATCTCTTATCTTCCTGTAAACTCTTGATATTATGTCTGTATTGTATGTCACATTTGAAACCGACAGTGAAATAAATTCCCCCGTTTCTGTTTATATTGTTTAATGTCTTCTTACCTACAACCATGTTTGGGCCGTTTGAAAAAGTCTAAAAACGCGTGAGCAACAACTTAAAGCCAAATATGCTGATATTTCTACTCCTCTTTTCATTCTAATGGTTCATCTCTTATTTACAACATTTTTTTCCTTTAAAGAAGCGATTGACTTGCAATGGATGCAAGATACAAAACAGGAAAGTAAATAAATAAATGTATATGCATAGGATGTGTAATATAAATGCATATGCATGTACATATGATTTATTATCTACTGATATAATTTAAAATCCAAGGGAGTGCAGTTACCGATATGTTGTATACCTTTAAAATCCCTGATCTAGATCTTGTACATTGACTTTAAATAATTTAATACACAAGTACATCATAAATTAAACACAGATAATACAAGTATACTTCTGAAGTTCCGGAGTCATCCTTTTGGAGCATTATATTTTGTGTATCTGATGCCCATTTTGAGAATAAAAAAGGAAAGTGCACTCGACTAAGAACTTATGTTTGATCGTTAAATAAATATCTATTTTAAAAAAAAACAGTATTTTTTTAATTTACACGTCCATGCCCTTTGATATGAACAGAAGGGGTCCGGTGGTTAAGAATCCAATTTTTTTAAGTGAAAGAGTAGGTCTATGGAGCGAAATATGCCGTGATTATCATGAACGAAATACTCGCACAAGATTGTTAGTGCATGTGTAACACAACGAAAAAAGAATTGCTTGAATACTGTCCTTCATAGTGTATACTATGTACTATAGTATTAGTAATGTAGTAGCTTAAATTGACATTTAAAAAAAATAAGTATGCTAAGGTCATGCAAAATTAATTCCTTGGTTCTCAGGCCTTTTAAGAAATATGATGAGGGAGGGAGGCATTTTTTTTTTTACTTTTTATTGCCCCAAAAACATGATGAGGCAGCTTTTTACATTGTACAAAACCTCAAAAAATGATGAGGGAGGTGATTTGTTGTTTTTATTTTATTGATTTAGCAATAAAAAGGGTCAATGAGGCGCCCTTGGAAGAGATGAAGGAGGGCCTGAGAACCAAGAAATTAATTTTTTTGGCCTAAAATATCGAAACATTCTAGAGGAGGAATGTTTTCTATTGCTGTAAAGTGTCCTGTTAAATTTAGACTTTACTGTGTGGCATCAAATGCAAAATTTACAACATGTCAATATAAGTACTGACAACCGTTCAGTTCAAAATCTAAATGATTGATACCAGCATGTTGATAGACGGTTTATTGTGGCATTAAATGGGAAATGAAAGTCCGAAATTTTTATATAAGTTTTAAGCAACTTTTGATTCGAAAAAAAAAACACAAACAATATTTCCATATATCAGGACGTCTTTAAGTACATTGACAACATAAAAATTACCATACAATGAAAACACAGAGTAAAGTACTGATGATAATACATTCAGACACATTAAGCTGCCAAACAGATAACAATCCGCGTTATTGGACATACAAACATATCACATATAACTCAGACGGCACATTTTACCTTACACAAGTAACACAGTTATACATGTACAAAATGCTTCTTTCTAAGAATGAAATTCCTCAAAATCTTTTAATGGGACATGGACACAGTTTCAACAGATTTTTTGAAAACCAATGTTAATGTTAACAATTTCTAACTAAGGAAATTTAAATTGATCAACAAAAAATGAACCTCATTTGTTGATTTTCAAAAGAGATACAGAATTTAACTTAAAATGCTTCAAAATGTAAACAAGGCTCGTGTCATGTTCTTGTTAACATATATAAGATATCATATCTATAACAAAACAAGATTCAGTAAATCATTAAAAACTGTTTTTGGTATTCAGAATTAATTTCTTTATTGAAAAAATCTGCATGGAACTGCATTAACCTATGTAAACAAAAACACGACACGGGCCTTGTTTACATAACACTAGTTTGGAGCTCTAAATCTGTCTTGTATCTCGACAACTGAAATTCAAATTTCTGATAATCATTTAAAATACACTGGATAAGTATTTGTAAACATAAAAAATGAAAAAATAAATTTGGAAATTTTCAGCTGAAACTGTGTCTATGTCCCTTTAAAAAATCTTGCATACTTTATTATATTTCAAAAAGCACAAACTTCTTTAAATCCAATGAAAGGTCTTTCCACAAGTATTACATATGTGAAGTATGAAAGCCCTTGCCCAAACAATTCAAAAATTATGGCCAAGGTTAAAGTTTTCAAAACGTAGGTCATACTCCAAGGTCAAGGTCAAAGGGTCAATGTTGTTGGTATTCAATGAAAGGTCTCCTCACAAGAATAGCATATGTGAAGTATGAAAGCCTGAGCCCTTACCGTTCAAAAGTTATGGCCAAGGTTAAAGTTTTTTCAAAAGTACAGAAATCGTCAAGGTCAAAAGGTCAAAGTTGCTGGTATCCAATGAAAGGGCTTGCCACAAAGAATATATATGTGAAATATGAAAGCCCTAGTATCTACCCTTCAAAAGTTATGGCCAAACTAAAAGTTTGGAATTTTTGTGTAAAAGTATTTCAAACTCCAAGGTCAAGTTCAGAAGGTCAAGTTTGGTGGTACCCTAAGAAAGGTCTTGTCAGTAGAAATACATATTTGAAATATGAAAGTCATAACTCCACTAAATCAAAAGTTATGAGCAAGGTTAAAGTTTTTGTGATGGACAGACAGACTGTCTGACAGACTGACAGACGAATGAGATTTAATGTCCCCTCGCTTTCGCGAAAGCGGGGGACAAAAAGTGGGTTCGATCTACCCTACATATACTGGATTCCTAAAGTAATTGACTCGTGACAATACCATCGGTTAGTAAATGGACATTTGAAACAAACAGTCGGTAAGTTCAAGTACATTTGACAATACAGTCGGTAAGTTAATGGACACGTGACAATACAGTCGGTAAGTTAATGGACACGTGACAATACAGTCGGTAAGTTAATGGACACGTGACAATACATTCGGTAAGGTGATGAACATGTGACAATACAGTCGGTTAGTTGTTTCCTGTCAGTAAAATTATGGTCACATGACAAAACAGTCTGTAAGTCATTTCACACTGGACATTAAATAATGGACATACGATAATAGTGGCAATACAGAAAGATAGTTACTTGAGAAACGACATTAAGACATTTGACTCTTGATAGTAAAGTCGGAAATTAAGTTATGACAATTTGATTTGGCAATCTAGAGCATGGCCAATTGACATTACTTTCACTGTTTAATTAAGATAGAATCGTAACTCTGGGTTACCGTTACTGGATGTTCCACCTTTCAGTGAGTCATGGGTATTGGGTCATCCGAGATTTCAAAGAAAAAAATTGTCAATGAAATTTCCTCTAAATATACGCACATTTCTTTATTCAGCACGAAATTTACATTGAATGCTAATCATTGTAAACCAACACATTCCACGCTCTGTAGCTTTACCAGCTCGCTCTTTGGAGATCATAAAATGATATGAACCATATAGGCAGCACACCTCTGTGTCATCTGGACAGAAAGCAAGCAGGGCATTTTGGAACAAAATTCATATTTTCTCTAATTTCATTCGTTAGAATAACTTCCGTTTCAAATCGATCCTTTGAAAAAAGTGAATCTAATATTCATTGGTTACAAAAACTTCCTATCGGAAAAAAGTTCTCCTGTCACTCACAAAAAAAATCCAAACGCTTATCAGAGACAGCGAATTCACCATTCTCTATCAAATTTCACGTTGACACACCCTAACACATCCAAAATCGGACACAAGTTTTTCTCCTTATTTTGCTCAATCAGTTGTAAAATGGTCTCCATCCTTGTTTGATCTGCTCGACCTTCATTCGGTGAAGGACGGTCAAGTTGAATGGTTCCCGGCTGAGGTCAGCGTTCGTCAGCTTATCGATAAAGCACCCGTCCAACCCCTCCTTCTCACACAGAGCAGCTAGTTCGTTAAGGCGACATTCACGGAAACAGTGGACTAATTCTGCCACCGACAGATTGGAGAAGTTCGGTACGGGTGGGGAGGGGAGTCGGGAGATGGGGGACACAGCCCCTGTCGGTTTCTGGGGGCTCTCATGCTGTCGACTTACAAGCTCCTTGTGAACCAGAACAAGGCTTTGTCGATACGTCTAAAAAAGGTTAATGTCAGTTTAAACCATGTAAATACATGTAATTTACGAATCAGAAGCTTTTATGTAAAGATAAATGTGTAATACACAACCTTTGGGATGCTGGAGTAATACTCGTCAAGATTCTGGGATGCCGCTGGCGAAAACACTGGACGTCTAGTCACCACTTCTGTATCTGAAAAAGAACGTGTTGTCATTACACACATATATGTAACCGAACAAACCAGATGTCTAGTCATCCCCCTTATCTGAAAAAAGACCAAAACCTCAATATCTGAAACAGGTCATACAAAATGGACTTTTCCTTAATTTTATTTCTGGGCTTAATTATTTATATAACACTGATTACACGTATGACACAAGGGTGAACAGATTGAATTTTTTTTACATTCAGGAAACGTTTCTTTTTTTTATATTCACAGGGTCCCGATTCGTCAAAAGTATCCCAAAAATTGAAGTGGTAGATAAATGAAATTCCAGTCGAATGTCAATCAATGCGCGCTAGTTCTTTTTGATATTGAAATAAAATACTAATCTCGTATTTAACTGTACTCGAATTGCCTTACCCTCGATAGCTGGAGGCTCTGGTATAAGTCCTCTTTTAATCGAAGTCCTCGGAGAAGTGAATGCTGAACGCTGTTCCAAACGGGGTGAAACTAACCTGCCGCGAGAGAGTTGATCTTGTTGGGACGCTGACACAAGATTGTCTGAGTTTGTAAGCGGTAGGTCGAGTTTCTGTGACGAGTTACTCCCTCGATCACGGGACGGTGGGACCGGTCGCGTTTTATGGATGGTCGGCTTCATCTGTTTTTTGATTTCCTTTGCGTCTTCCATGGATATGTAATCTGCCTCATTTGGCCCGTCAGAACTTTCCGAGTCATGACTAGAGTCTGCTCTGGCTGTAACAAATAACATTAGTGTTTCAAATAAACCCACCTAAATAAATCACTGCCTAAAAATACTGATACGAAGAGTGGTCATTTATAGTAACTTACAGGTATTGGACAGCGGTCTGGTTGGAGTGCTCGATTTGGAATTCCTGTCGCCACTTTTAGAGGAGTTGTTGAAGAGCTCCCTCCCGATGTTCGGTGGTAATTTGTTTAAAGTCACGGTTTCTAGAAAATAAAAGTTTCATGATCCACATTTCTCACATGCACGGCTTCACTTGTTCACAGTAATTCTTCATTTATAGTCTAGCACAGTTAATGAGAGAGGACCCTTAAAGATTTACTTTTGAATATTTCCATTTTATCTCTGTACACTGGCAATCTATCAACAAGGATCTAATGATCACACATCTATTTGTACGAAATGGGATATTTAAGTTGAGACAGTTTTCGTCCTTACATCAATGGCAAAGCCATGGAGCAGCTGACCTTGAACTATAATTTATATCATTCCGAAAGAGAGGCTGATAGAAAGGACCGGTGAAGGAAAACAACGAATGAAATTACAGAACTTTAATTTACCTTTTTATCAAGACTTGACGCCATAGGCATGTATCATTTTAAGTTACTGTTTATAGTTACCCCGACATAAGTCATAACTAGATACTGCGAATTTTAATCAGAAAATCATGGTTACTACATATATAAACTTCATACTCGTTTTTCAAACCAGAGGACAATAGAACGCAAAAAAGTAAAAAAAAAAAAAAAAAAAAAAAAGGAACACTAAAAGATTTTTGTGCTAGACTTCTGGTTGATAGTTGTTGTACAGCTTTTCAATTGATAATTTGGAGTTAATTACGTTGACTGTTCACATTTCAACTATTTTATGAAATTACAAACAGCTCATAAAAATTATTAAAATTTATTAAATTAAATATTTCCCTAATGCAACAAATGTCATAGATACACTTTAAAGCACTTTGACAATTTGGTTTCCTAAATGAAAATGTAATGTTAGAAGGGGTCTTTTAAAGCTATTTCTTTTTTTCAGAATGTCTTTCAAAATGTTTCCAACAAAACCTCACTCAGTTATATATACTCGTACACAACCAAAATTTAGTTAAGACAAAAATGACTGCTTGGAAGATGTAGAAGATTCTAAATAAAATTGAATATAACGTACCGGGTTTTTTGGCGACATCCGGAGACCTCGACAATATATTTCCAGTAAGTGTGAGATCGTGTGTATCGTCACTAGGGGGTCTGGACCTGTTACGGGCCGGAAGGGGCGGCACCGCACATAGTCTATTCTCGGAGCCCGTGTCGACTGAGCCCCTTCTGGGTTGTGTGAAACTTTCCGGATTTGACATTTTCCTCGGGGGAAGAACAGGTGGTTTTGTTCCTAAAATATTTGTTAACATGGTCTTATATCCCCTGTTGGGAGGCTGAGGTGTCACTGAAGCAATTTTAGCCTTCTCTGCCATTGTAGAAGTGTCCTGCTGATAAAGGTTTGACTGTAGTGGGAGACTTTTTCCAAAAGAACTAGGTATGCTGCTGGATCTTTTCGGGACGGGTGGTGGTCGTTTTTTGGACGTCAGAGGACTATTTTGGGGGCTGCTAAACATTGACTTGTTCTCTTCCGTCAGACTAATTTGAACTTCTACATCAGTAGCCTGGGTCAGTGCTATCATCAATTGGTTTGCCGATACTCTAGATCCATCAGAATTAAGAATAGATCCCACAATGGCTACCAACGACTCCACACGTTCCAGAGAAAAACAATTCACTTTATTTGTGTCTAACACTGCATTTAGTTCAGGAAGCTTATCCATGAATCTTACATTTACTGGTAACGAGAAATTTCTTATCACATCCTTAAGTTGCATTATATCGTTTTTAGGGATACGAGAAAATTTTCCTCTTTGAAAAGGACGCAAGCAGATTTTCCGTTCCCCATAAGTACAGTGTAACCCCTGTCCACTGACCACCCGCTCCAGCTTAAGACAGGCGCCCCAGCCCAGGTCCACTTCCTCCTCATTGTTATTCTCCAGTGTCACGGCCTTAATCGGGGAGTCCACATGTACAAATCCCGGGAAAAGCTGAATGAGTTCCTGCACTGATTTGTACACGGTTTCTTTTCCAGTGTAGACATAAACTTCACCTTGGAAATTAAGAGGAATCTGTAGGTCTGTGACCTCTTCGTCCAATAAGTTAGCTCGCGTTACTATGCGTTTGATTTCACTGATAGCGTCCAAACGTACGACATCTCCCGTGGATAAGCTCTCCTGCTCGTTTTGGCTGTAGACCCCCTCCGTCACACGAACCGTGCGCGGGAGACCCATCTTATACACCACGTCATGAATGGTGTAGTTCTCCATAGACCAAGCGGCTTTCGCCCTAGCCTCCATTTTTATTTCACTATCATATATTCGTTTTAATGTTGGTCATTTGTCAAATTAAAGGAAGGAACACTATTGATAGTATTGAAAATCATATAGGGAAGTTCAGCGTTAGTGGAAATACTTCCTGTTTCAATTCGTATTTTAGCACACGAGGAAAAAAGGTGAATTTAATAACGTTTGTTTTAGACATTAGTAAACATGATTATTAACTTATTAAATTCGGAATTTTCAAGGCCCACCTCGAACCGAAATTGTACCTTCAGTATTCGTTGCAGTGAAAGAAATTCACGCACCTGCGTGAAGCCGGAGCAATCGGCCTTGACTGTAAGAGGAAATGGCGTGTTTTATACTTTTCTCTTTTTTTTCTATCGATATGTGACGGAAAGAAAAATGATCCTTGAGATACTAAATAAATATACGGAAACGATGTGGATATACAAAATATATTTTCATAAATCCATTCAACAAAAACATCTTTTGAGCGTATTGTCCTTTCTGATAAATTTTATGTTTTTTAATAAACGCTGCAATATAACTACTTTACTTCACACAAGTGAACTTGTAATGAAAGTTGATTAAAGAAAGAAAGGAATGTTAAGTTTGCATTTTCAGAAAATAAACCAAGACAAGTAACAGCTTTTTAAAAAGCTTGCCTGACTAATGCCATCAAAATCTATAAAACCAATAAGCATGATAATTTATAAACCTTTACATTGGGGAGGGGGGGTGTGGGGTAAATTATTTCACAAGAGAAAAATATAAAGATGTTGCACAAAACATCATGCATTCATTTTAAGTTGTATGATACTCATTAGAGCAATGGAAAAAAGAACACATTTTATATAAAACGTATATATTGTTTGTATCTCAAATTTAAAGCTATATATGGCGTATCTGTACGGAAGCCCATTAGTGCCAACCTCTATATATAAAGGAAATGCAATATATAAAAGCAAACCTCGATATATAAAGGAAATACAATATATATAAACAAAACCTGGATATATATAAAGGAAATGCGATATGTATAAACGAAACCTGGATATATATAAAGGAAATGTGATATATATAAACAAAACCTCGATATATATAAAGAGAAAAGCGATATATATAAACAAAACCTCGATATATATAAAGAGAAATGCGATATATATAAAGAGAAAATTTTCCACTGCGTGACCTCAGCTGTCCATCAAGATTATATACAGATTAACTCCTGGCAGGGGGAAATCAGTTATACAGTACTCAAAACTGTCACAGAATCTGCAAAATGTTGCTATTTAATAGTGTTTATTTGTTTGTACATGCATATATCAATGAACTGTAATTGTAACACTACTTAAAATAATGCACTTATTTGAGAAGAAGAGCATTAAATTAAAATGCATTCATAATGAATTATATGTGATACATTAAAAGTTTAAATCTAAAGTTTAAACTTATCTAGATAGTTACAGATAAGTTTAAATTTCAGATTTAAACTTTTAATGTAACATATCTATCGTATTTTCTGTGTTTTATTGGCTTTACATGTATTTTGATCAACTTTGTTTTTTTTACAACCTACCTTGTTTTTTCTTTCTTTCTTTTTCTTTCGTTTTACCAAACTTACTACTTTGGTTTCACAACTGAGAATTTATGAAAATATAATGTTAAACGTGGAGTCTTAACAAGTACTTTTTTAATGCCCTAATTCAAATTTTTTTAAATTCATTATAAAAATATATTTACTAGTATGTCCATTGATTGTAAAAAAAGAAAAAAAAGAATCGGAATGGGAGAGAGGGGAGAGATGAAGGTATCCTCTTCATCTGAATATGAAGGAAGAAAGCGACATGTACTATTACCGTATATATAATAATTTAAGGGTTTTTTGGTGGAAAAAAAGTAAAGTATTTGTAAATAAATAAAAAGAAACGATGTAGTGCATGCACACTTACATAATTAAACTGCAGATTTTTGTCCCACATATCGTACATTAAATCGATTTGAAAATCTACATCATGTAAAAACATAGTAAAACGTTTAAGAACTTATAAAACATGATAAAACACACTTGTATTTTTGCACTAAATTATATTTCAATTGAAAAAGACCCCCGAACATTTAGTGCTATGTAATATACATTTTAAGCCGAAAAGTCACTCATTGGTGTAATTCTGCCCAACACGTCTGAAATGTAAGAAGAACACAGTGTTTTAGCTTTAGTTTTAATCGTAATAATTATCAAGATACACAAAGGAAGAAAACACAACACGCTAAATACCATCCTGAAACAGCCACATCAAATGATTGTAATCAAATTATTGGACCAGTAGCAGCTTATCATATGTTGGCGAAGTCTCTGTTGTAATGTAGGTCATTTAACATGTTAAAGGTCAGGCAGTGGAAATATATCGAAGTTTTGTTTACATATATCGCAATACCTTTATATATATCGAGGTTTTCTTTTTATATATCGCATTTCCTTTATATATAAATCGAGGATTTCTTTATATATATCGCATTTCCTTTATATATATCCAGGTTTTCTTTATATATATCGCATTTCCTTTATATATAGAGGTTCGTTTTTATATATCACTTTTCCTTTATATATACAGGTTGGCACCAATGGGCTTCCGTATATCTGAGCTAAAAAATAAAAAAAAAATACGAGATTAAGTGTAGATTTACATTATATTTGTTATTTACGTTCGAATTCAAATTTTCAGATTTAGAACTAAAAAATCCCGTCGTTTCTATAGTTAGATTGACTTTAAACTGTGTCTGCTATTTAATTCCGATTCAAAAATAAATCAGATATTGTTTTAAATTTCTGATATGTATGAAACGCGATTGATTTAAATTGTGTAATTTACAGGAAAGTCCTATCTTTATATAAAGAAACAAAACAAATAGGAAGATCTTTTTAATTTTAGTTAAGTCTGAACTTATCAAAAATACGCCATATATGACTTTAAAATGAAATCGTGTACATGTCCCGCTGTAGATTCAAACCCGCGACGTAAAGATGAAGACCTCACTCCGCGAGTCTAAAAATGGCTTTAGAGGATGAAGTACATAAGGAAAAACACTAATGTAATTGATTAATACTGGAAAGCATGGCTATATGTAAAGGTTATATAAATTAGATTCAACTGCATACAGCATAGGCTTTGAGGATGACAGCTGAAAATATGACAATTAGAAGAAATTAGGAATCGTAACGGATATGATTGACATGCAGAATATGTTTAATAGTCTCTTGGGTATACCAGAGCATCAAAGATTGTTGGAAACGTGGGATAAATAATTAAAACCCTGTATTCTTAAATGACCCAACATACTTGACGGCGATATATGAATGGCGACAGGTGCGGATTCAGAAAGTTTTCCCAGGGATAAGGGGTCCACATCAAAAATATTTGTACGAGCAAAAAAGTAATAATTTATAATTTTTCTCAATTCTGAAATGTGAGAGGGCACTTTCATAAGTTTATACTCTGTGGAGGAAACCCCCTAGAGTGGAGGGGGGGGGGGGGTATGATGTATATTCGAGCAGTACATCCTCTAAGAGGTTTTTGTTCGTTCCGTTTTTATTACTTTTTAAAATGATGTAACTTCTAACTCACTTTACAATATCACCGATATGTTTTTTTCCAAAGCTCGACCAGGATTCCGACAAAAAAGAACAGACTTTATATTATTCATGCAGTTTTCATTTCCATTCAATAGAATAGTCCAGGAAAAGGGCGCAAAAACTTACACGTGACATTTTGGCGCGAACTGGTGGAAGACAAATGGACTAATCCAGTGGTATAGAAACGCAGAAAAAAGGTCAAACGGACAAGTCCATATAAGAACTCGCAGGAAATAAATAGCTGCTAGCAAAAAGCTAAGAGAAATAAATACATCAATGTACTGAATCAGCAATATGGTTATTTTTCTGCTAACTGTTGTTGCTGAAACCGTTAAACGCATATATAGCAAAATCCGATGATAATCAGCATGCACAAAATTTTGCTGGCTAACTGTGACCTCGTAGCTTCGCACCTAGGAAATATTGATCCTTAGCAGTGCCTGACGCCGTGACGTCAGGCAAATAAGTCAGTTCACACAATAATGAGGCATCGTTTTGGTATTTATTGTCATTTAATGATATCATATATTCAAATAAGTCATATCATTCATTCAAATTGAATAGGTTAGGCAAAAAAAAAAATTAATTTCTTGCTTCTCAGGCCCTCCCTCATCTCTTCCAAGGGTGCCTCACTGACCCTTTTTATTGCTAAATCAATAAAATATAAACATCAAATCACCTCCCTCATCATTTTTTGAGGTTTTGTACAATGTAAAAAGCTGCCTCATCATGTTTTGGGGGCAATAAAAAAGAAAAAGAATGCCTCCCTCACTCATCATATTTCTTGAAAAAAGGCCTGAGAACCAAGTAATTAACTTTGCATGGCCTTATATCACCTGATTTGATGAGGTGATATCACTTATTCGAATAGGTGATATCACGTTATCGAATCAATGATATCACCTTATCAAATCAGTTATATCACCTTATTGAATCAATGATATCACCTTATCAAATCAGTTATATCACCTTATTGAATCAATGATATCACCTATTAGAAATGAGAGGGTAATACAGTCATTTTAACAGTAACGAATCGGTTTCTAGTTACGTATTAAATACAACCCATATCTTTGAATTTCCAAATTTTCTTTGTTGTTGTTTAATTTGTATTTCTAAGCTCTGCAAACAAGTGGTACAAAAATTTCCAAAATATAAACGGTACAGGGACATAGCTGTCAAAAATAACACCCCCCCTTTTTTTCCTAGTTTCGAATCGATTTTTCAGTATCGAATCAGTTGCCCTCTATTGTTGCTGACTTATTAAATGAAACCGGTTGGTCGAAATTATTGTAGAAATATACCTTCAAGAAAATTCTACATAAAGTATATTCATAAGCATTACTTGTTGATTCAAATGATTTATTTTTCTAAAACTAAACAATATGAAAAATGTTGCATTTTATGAGAAACTTTTAGTGTTTAGTGACATGCGTTATTATAATTAAATCAATCATCTCTGAGTCATAATTTTCATGGAATATTTTTGCTTATAAATAGTTTTGATAGTATTTTCACTCCTGTCAGTTTCTTTGTTTTTGCATCCCGTAAAACGGCATTTTTCGTTCTTCCAAAATTCGTGATTCGTAACTAAGAAAACAACACGTGGTAAGTTTAGATGTTAAATTTCATTCAAAAGTCAATTTTCGTTGAATTTAATGTTCTATCTTTTTGTATTTATCCTAAATATTGATTACATACACAATCTGGATCTACAACATATCAAATTTTTTATTTAGACGTATTTCTCGACACACTTTCGTTTTCTTAGACTTGCACTTGCGCGTGTTAAAATCTAGGTCATCGGTTCAAATTGTAAATATTGTGGGAAATAATCATGCAGATATTACAAAATCACAACACAGTGGTAGAATATTTATCCTTTTATTGTATTAACCTAGTAAGATTTTAAAAACCCTTCACTATGTTTTTCTAGAATATTTAAATAAAAAAAATATTCGATACTGGCAAATATTCGTTACTGGTAAAATGACTGTACATGTATCACCTATTTGAAAACTAGTACCGGTAGGTGATATCATCTATTCGAGCTGAATAGGTAATACGACCTATTCAATTGATTAGGTGATATGACGTATTCGATTAAGTGATTGCCTGACGTCACGGCGTTAGGCTGTATAATGATTGAGATTTCCAAGATCCGAAAGTGTGCGATCATGTCTAAAGAGCTAGATTTTGTGCAAGCTGATTTGCATTGGGAATTCTTTACCTGCATTTTAAAAGAAACAGTTTTCAAAAAACAGAATGATATTACTGATGCAAAATACTGCAGTGTTTACTTCCTTTACTCTTTTTGCATGGAACAGATTATTCCATGTGATTCGCCGTTTCAACATGTCCGTGTATCCTGTTTTCTGCATTTCTATACTACTGGATCAGTCCATTTATATTCTACGAAAGGGGTGAATCGCTCTTTTCGCGCCAAATGTCACTAGTAAGCTATATCTTCGAATTTGAGCCTTTTTTGGGGGGGATTGTTTTATTGTAAGAATGGGTGTGCTAACTTCCATGAAAACCTCATTCTAATGCCTTAGAAATTCTATCTACAAGTTTTATATCATTCTTTAAAACCACATGTCGTATACCTCAGTATACAGTGTATCTCTATATTATCTACTGTGATGGCGGAATAGAGAATACACTATGATATAATATTGATGATTATTAGTGCCCGCAGTTATTACATATAAAATACAATAATGACGGAGCTAACAGAGACACGTCCGTTCTCTGCAGCATGTAACACAAAAGAGAGCGAGGATAGGTACACGTCACAACAGGTGCTGTGACGTATACCATGTGATCTGAGGTAGCAGGGCAATTCGTGCCCAGTACCTCCAGGACCACCACATTCCTCCCCATTTTGAAAAGAGGGCGTTCCAGCCCGTTACAATGGGACAAACTATAAAAGAAAACTAAAATTAAAATAGCTGCACCTGACCCCGCATCCCTGCGGGGACATAATCCTCCAAACTAGTCGCGACAAACATCGACGGGACTGCATTCGGGGCAGATAAATTGAGGTACTGATTTAGCATAATCCTCACTAAAACCCACACACCCAGGATGAAACCAGTCCCGGCAGCTGTCGCACTGCACCATCATCCCCTTGGGATTAGACTGCAAACAAACACAATATTTTCTGGTTTTAGTTCCCCTAGTGGCTCTAGGTCTTTTGGGCGACTTGGGCTGTACGGGCGGATCTTGTCTTTACCTAACCCGCTTACGAGTACCCATATACGGACCTACTGACTCCGCTGGCTTGGGGCTCACTTGCGGGTGACCCCCACTCCCCGGGCTCTCAGGACATATTGCTGAGTCCGCGGTCCCCAGCGGTGCAACCACGTCATGTACAGGAGAACTGTCCCCATCTCGGGCTACTGACTGTCCAGGCAACTTATTCTGATACTAGTAGATAACTAACCATTTGGGGAGTTGCCTGGCCTCGCACTTTTTAAGCTTGTCATGGTGCATAACCTTGACCTCGCGCCGAGATTTGACTACAAATATTGTGTCCGACTTGGCTTCAATTATTACCCCAGGACCCTTCCAAACTGACTCTACCTTTTTTCCGGCATTGCGACGCCAGTATACCAAATCTCCGACCTTGAACTTGCTGGTACAGACCTTAATGTCATGCGACCTTTTCATGGCCTTCTGCGCGACTTTAAGTTTCTTGCGGGCAATGTCGTGCGCGCCTTGAACATTCTCTTCGAGGTCCCGTACGTATCTGTCCACCTCACCCTCCTCCCCATTTTGAAAAGACGTGGAAGGCGGTGGGGCAAACATCAAGGTTGCTGGTATATTTACTTCACGACCCAGCATTAAACGATTTGGGGTATAACCGGTATGGCGATTTACCGCGGACCGCAATGCTCCAGCCAATGGGCCTAGGTACTTATCCCATGACTTGGGCTGACCGTCGATGTAGCAGCGAACTGCGTCCATTAGAGTGCGGTTGTAGCGCTCTACCTGGCCATTCCCTGACGGACGGTAGGGTGTGGTCCTGGCTTTATGTATCCCTAACATGGCGCAAATCTTACAGAACAGCTCGCTCTCGAAATTACGGCCCTGGTCTGTAAAGATTTCGTAAGGATAGCCAAATCGAGAAAAGAAGTCATTGATAGCGGAGCGAGCAGTAACTTCCGCTGTTTGAGACGGAAGCGGAATACACTCTACCCATTTGGAAAAATTGTCTACCATCATAAGAATGTATTCGTTTCCGCTATCAGTTTTGGGGAGTGGCCCGAGAAAGTCCAGATGTACCCTTTCCATCGGGCTTCCGGCTTGATAACTCTTAAGCTCGGATCTGTTCGGCAACGAACCTCGCTTGTTTCTCGCACATACGTCGCAAGTTTTGACATATAACTTAATGTCCTTTGTCATGCGCCACCAGTAGAACTGTTGTTTAAGGCGTTCTTTAGTTCTCTGGATTCCCTGGTGACCAGAGGACGGTATGTCATGACACAAGTGCATGATCTCGGATCGGAGACTCCGCAGCACGAGGAGCCGACGGGACGCATCCGAGTCATCGGGTTCTCGCCAAACAACACCTGACTCGTCTAGATAAAAACAGTCTCGCTCCAGAAGATAGCACTTCTCTTCCGGACTGCAGATAATTAAGTCGCTTTCGGTAGGTAAGGCCCCAGACTCTAAGTACTGTCGCAGGTATACTATAGCTTCGTCATTTTTCTGTTTCTGAGCTAAATCTGCGGAACTGTAAGAAGATAGCGAAATTCCCGCAGTGTCACCTGTTAACCGACAGACTTGAGGACTAACTTTCTCAATATTGGGATTTAAACTCGACACCCCACTGACCTTAATCTGAAAACTGGGAAGTGCAGACGCACTTACAGTCAAGGGTGTATCTTCCCAAGAACTGGAAACAATGGCCTGACGAAGCGTGGGATCTAACGAACCACATTCACCCCCCTCAGCGGACGGACTCTCTGCTGGCACAGGCGTTTCGTCAAAGAGTTGGGACAAAGGAATTACATCGTCGATTTCGGTATTAAAGTCATGCCAGAGCTCGTGGGCTCGGCGGCAATACCGGCATCCGCCGCACGGTAAGTCTTCGACCCTAATTCTCGTTGAGTACCCCTGGCATGAGTCGGGTATGTCCCGGGACAGCGCGTCAGCATTGACATGTTTCTTTCCCGGGCGGTGTACGATCCGCATATTGTACTGGCTCAGTTCTTCGAGCCATCGAGCGATTTGGTTCTGCGGATGCTTGAAGTTCATTAGCCAGACCAGGCTATGGTGATCGGTCCTGACCGTGAACTCGCGACCCAGCAGGTAGTGGCGGAATTGTCTTGTAAACTTAATAACCGCCAATAGCTCTTTACGAGTAGTACAATACCTGCGCTGTTCTGCGGATAGCACAGCACTCCCATACCCTATTGTTCTTTCTTTCCCACCCTGGACTTGGCTTAATTCCCCGCCTACGGCATGATCCGAGGCATCGGTATCCAGGATGAAATGACCTGTACTGTTCGGTATCGCTAGAACTGGAGGTTTAGTCATTAACTGAATTAGTTCCTCGAAAGCATTATGCTGCTCGTCGCCCCACCAAAAACCGCTTTTTCCGGTAACCGCATACAGCGGAGCCGCAATTCTGGAGAAGTGAGGGATGAAACTACGGTGATAATTGGCGAACCCGAGAAAACGCTCTACGCCCTTAATATCACGCGGAACAGGTCAGTCACGCACTGACTCAATGTACTGATCCCCCATCTCAACTCCATGACCGTCGTCTGTACTAAACGGTGCTTGTAACCTTTGGTAACTGAGTCAGCGAAAAATTTGTAAACATGCTTAGAAAATAATAATTGTAGCTTAATCTAAATAATATTCCCTTCCATCAGACATAATTCATATAGGCAGCAAAAGAATTGATCACTAAATGTAACAAGAGCACAACTTTAAAAAAATCGTCTTTTAACCTGAATTTCCTCTGTTCTCATATGAAACGATATTTTCTACTCTCCACTCACATTTTATGTATTATTTTTTTTATAGTTTAAATATTAAGAGGCCAGTCAGAAGTTAAACACTATGCTACCATTTTTTTTAATCATATAATATTATAGTACAGACGACGGTCAGGAACTTGTGTGCACATGGAAGATGCATAAAAATAATCAAAGTACCATCTTTGTACAAGAGAAAAAAGGTGCAAAACACGAAAAAAATACAATAATTGTTAAGATTTAGCATTATGTTTAAGGTATCTATATATATATAGCGACAATCGATTTTGCCGTTAAGCTATCGATTGTCGGCATCGCCAAGCTTCCAACGACGATTTTTCGATCGTCGGCGACTATCGCTGAATCACTACCATGCACTCCTCGATGAGTGGCAGAGGGTACGTGTCCCTGACTGTCACCTTATTACAGGGCTCGTCCACGCACCAACGGACGCTGCCATCCTTCTTCCGGACCAGAACTGGGGCGGACGCCCAGTCCGAGGAAGACGGCTGGATGACTCCGGCTTTTAACATGTTATCGAGATGACCCTCTTCCTCCCCTTGAAATACAGCGGGGGTGCGTCGCATCCGCTGTTTGACGGGAGACGCGTTACCGGTATCTATTCGGTGTTCGATCTCGGAAAAACTTCCGAGATCAAGGTCATCAACAGCAAAGACGTCGGCAAATTTTTTGACTAGCTCCGCTGCCTGAGATCTGACTTCCACAGGCGCGGTCTTGTTTAACTGCTCTAAGAGTGGGGCGATATGGTCATAGTTCTTATCCCCCTCAAAGGTTACACGACGCACTGTGGGCTGAGTATCGTTGACTAGATCGGCGGGAACGGCTATCCCCACCTTAGTGCCAGTCTTGACAATATGACTTCGGTCTGTCAAGTTCAAGATGCACAGCTTGGCTCTATTCCCTGCAGCGTTGTATGTTTGCGAAGCTACTATACCAGGCGGAAATATGCTAGCTGGTTCCAGCATAAACTCTGGCATATCGGAACTAAGGGTACCCTCGATAACTTGGGCAGTGTGCGGGGGGATCCGCACTCTGCGGACTGAAACCGCATCGAGTACTGGTACTGACTCATCAACACTCATAGCAAATGTGGTGTCAATGCCCTTGGCCCTTAAAGTACCGGCTTTACATGAAATTTCTATACCATGCTTGCGCAGGAAATCAATTCCCAGGAGCATATCATCTTGCAGAGGACCAACATATATCGGGTGAGCAAAATCATAATCCCCGATCCGTAAGTTCAGAATCCCGAGGTACTGAGCGGTCATACCAGCTCCCTCCCCAGCTAGCCTAACATTAGTATCGCCTACAACTTCAGGCTGCAGCCTCAAAGACTTGTAAACTTCGCTCGATATAATCGTTATGTCGGCTGCTGTGTCGATTGTTGCTCTCACTTGTTGGCCTCCTACCCTTATCGGGATACGCCACGCCCCTGAACCGATGGCTTGACTACCGGACCTAACAGACGGAATTACATAGGTCGCGTTCACATTCGGCTCATGGAACTTGACTTTGGTCTCATGGTCTGACGCACTGTGTTTGTCTTTAGTTTTGTTACTCGTCAACTTAAGACAAGGCTTAGGGGTCCCCGATCTACGCCTACGCTGGCGGATCGGGCAGTCGCGACGCAAGTGCCTTGGCTCTTGGCATTCAATAGGCCTCGGCGCACGAGAACGTCCCCTATTAGATGACGGATCCGTCGAGGACCCTCGCTCGGGACTTGATCCTCGGGTGCTGTCCCCCGAGTCGGTGGAGTAGTATGTTTTATACGAGTCCCGATCCGGCGACTCGGAACGGTCCCTGCTGGCACGTCGATCCTTCATAGAGGTGCTTTTGTCATAGCTTATCGACGGTCTCATAGGGGAACTCCATGCGACGCAATGGTCCCTCGGATCAGGTCCGTCTCTGTGTGCGACGCAAGATCGGTCCCTTGACTCTGGGCGCCCCCTGCGTGCGACGCAAAGATCTTGAAACTCAGAATCTGATCTGGCACGATAATAGCCCGGATTGGGCGACTGACTTCGGTCATTTTAACGGTCTCTAGATAGGGATCTTAACTCTCTCGGCCGGCGGGCTAAAGCTCTGCGACTAAGTTGATAAGTTTTGACTCGCTTAATGGCTTCTTCTAGAGTCCCCGGGGGATTATTAATTAACTGCTGCCCCGCCTCGCCGTCATTACACCCCAGAGCAAAACGGACGACTATTTGCTCTTGGAAAACTTCCGGCGAAGTTCCGCTACCAATCGCTTTCTGGGCAGTGTCCATTACTCGGTCCCCCCCATTGCTCTATAGCTTCGTCCGCACGCTGGCAGATAGAATTAAATTCCAGCTGTGAGGCGGCTCTAAGGGAAGTTTTACCGAATCTCTCCTTCATCCGCAGAACGACTTCTCGGAAACTTAACAGCGCGCCTCGTCGTCTGAGGATATCATTGTACTTAAGAGCTGCCCCCTCTAGCGTAAGACTTAGGGCAAACAGAGAGTCAGGATATCGCTCCACTGATGATATTCGGCGATAGTGGAGAACTTGGCATAGAACGGACCCCATTCAACATCCCCGTTATATCTCACCCCTTTGACCTCGGCCGGAATATTCTTACTGACACAGCTACGGGTTCCAGCGGGAAGTAAACTTGGCAATTGACTCTGGTTCGCGGTGGTCATTAGCGAATGACCTGGTATGGCACCAGGCAAACCCCCATGACTAGGTACGAGCGACGGACTACCCCCTAATGTAACTGACTCCCCAACCAACCTACCATAGTGGCCAGCGCCCTGACCACTCGAGTTAGCAACATTAGGATGCGCGGACGCTAAGGGCACGGACGCGGAAGTACCCACTCGGGTGCACCATGCAACATGACCCGGGACCGGTGGGCCCGTGCTGGGAAGCACTGGGTAATCGGCCCCCCCTGACGCGAATGAACCCAAAGTAATAGTACTCGGAAGTCCCGAGGCTAAACTGTCATTGCCAAACGATGATAAGGAATGACCTTGAGACATGTTTACACTGTGTTCCCCCACAGAAAAAGACATAGACTCTCCGCCAGGTGCGGTCACTACTGGGGTCACTGCAGGCATCTGATGTCCGGGTAGTGCGCTAGGGACCCAAGGACTCCCCTGGCTACTATTCACTACTGGCTGACTAACTTTAATGTCCTGCGTGGGTGGGGGTGACTGGGGCTGACTAGCCTTCATCATGCCAGCCAACATCTGCGTAATATTACTTAATTGGCCCCCCATATTAGTCTCCATAGACCCAGCGTTGGATCCCATAGACCCCAGCTGCGCTGACACACTAGTCCCCATGGCATCAATAGCCCCCCTCAGGGCTCCCATATCCTGACCTAGGGTATCCACCCTTCTGTTTACTGTACCAAGGTCATCCTGAACTTGGGAAATATTACTCTGAATCTGACCAATATCCCCTCGGAACTGACCCATTTCCCCTTGGATACGGTCAACCGCTCCCTCCAGTATATGCTGTCGTTCCTGGAGGAGGGAATAAAATGCGGACCATCCGGGTGTGTCACCTAGACCCTCTGAAATAGCTCCCAGAGTGAGTGACATGTCCACCTCCCCATACTGAGTGACATTATCCGCCCCCCCTCCCCCCTCCTGGGGCATCGGGATGCTAGCAATACTCGGGGCAAACTTGACACTCTTGACAGGCGGGACTTTCTCTGGACTGCACTCTAATGGGGTACCTATCAGACCAATCCGGTCTCCTCCCCCTCCGCGAGCGTACCACCCCCCTCGCGTCTCAAAGTCCCCCTGCCCAGACCAAACGAGCTAATCTCTCGGTCCATTATTTACACCCACAAACCACGAGATAAATTTATTAAATACACGTAAAAATACCTCGCGGCTAATCCGCTCAAAGCATAAAACAAAATACAAAATACAAGAAACTTTAACCTAAGAAAAATACTTTACATAATAAAAGTACAAGAAAATCCAAAATGGCGACGGCACTAGCAAAAACGTAATCTCAGCGAGATGGGTAGAGACTGAAAATTTGGACTGACGTCTACTAGTAGTAGTAGACGTTAGTCCAAATTTTCAGTCTCTACCCATCTCGCTGAGATTAGCTAAAACGTGCTGGGCCGGCACCCCGCTGTCCAAACAAAAAACCCTTGGTCGCAGCAGGGACCTATATACTTAGTATATAGGTCCCTGGTCGCAGCGTCAATATTAGGGCTGGGCAATAATATCGATATTTCAATATATTGCAATACAAAGACAAAAAATATCGTATCGCAATACGATTTTGTAATATCGATATATTGGCAATATACTTAGATTAAGGAATTTTGTCATCAAAATGATTACATATTATAAAAAGGACTTATGAAAGTTTGTTATTAAGACAAACAGTAAGACAGAAGTTGTTTTTGGGGAACATTTAAAGTAATTCCACCCTCCTATGATGTCATAGGTTTTTGCAAAAACTGTAATTAGTTTAAATTCATACCTAATAGAACAATATCTCTTGGAATAATGCGTTACAATAGGTGTAATGATAAATATTGTTAAGTTAAAGAATTAAAAAAATGCATATTTTCTATATTTGATCAATCAATCAATCTTTAAAAAATGTTGACAAGGGCGATAACTCCTTCTAAGGTCTCTTCATTCAGGCATTTGCTTTATTGTAAAATAGTTTCCTTGATATTCACAATTCACAAGTATCTTTTAAATAGGAAGTATTTAGGAACATTCAGCATCAGAATTATGCATTTTAACCAGTTTTTACATATTTTTCATAATACTGTTTACAAAAAATGTGCGATTTTTTATGTTGACATACACTTCTGTTTATTTATATTTCGTATCTTAAATAATATGGTGACCTATACATTTTTTGCAATAATTGGAAAGTTTAAAGTATATTAAATGGAAATAAATGCAGTTTTTATACTTTGAACCTATAAAATTGTGAGGGTGGAGTCACCTTAAGAGCATAAATTAAATGAAATCAACAAGATTTTTTCTTCGTGTTGGTTACTTATCACAATTATATGTAAATTCTGCATGTAAATTAAAGTAAATATAGCAAGAAAATGCCATTTTTATTACATGGAAAATATTGCAATACATATCGCAATACAGTTACAAATATCGCAATATATTGCAATACGAAATCTCTGGACAATACCCAGCCCTAGTCAATATAGTGTTTTTTCTCTATATTATCTACTGTGATGGCGGAATAGAGAATACACTATGATATAATATTGATGATTATTAGTGCCCGTAGTTATAACATATAAAATACAATTATGGCGGAGCTAACAGAGACACGTCCGTTCTCTGCAGCATTTAACACAAAAGAGAGCGAGGATAGGTATACGTCACGACAGGTGCTGTGACGTATACCATGTGATCTGAGGTAGCAGGGCAATTTGTGCCCAGTACCTCCAGGACCACCAAAAGGATATGGACATGCAACACTAAAGAATTGATTTTTCTAGTTTGTTTCCCGATCCCGCGGTTGGTTTTTTCCATAAATGGACTAGTCCGATAATAATAAACAACGCAGTTCAAGTCATATGTCTCTGTTCAGATACACACAGTAAATAAGAAAGCAGTGAAAAATCTTGGATTTTACTTTCCACAAAGGTCTAAGTATTGAATTTACTTATTTCATTCTCAATTCCCCATTTTCAAAAGGTGAGTTATTCCCCCTGAAGGGAACTCTTTTACTGTGTTTAATACGCATGCGCTAAAACGAAAGTCACTTCCGCGGACGTTCTTGATGTACACATGTGCATGGTGTAATGCCTCTGTCATATGACAAACTGTTATTGTGTTTATGAATAAAAAGAAATCTTAACTCATATGTATTTATTTAAAATTGCTCACTCATAGCCTCTTTCTGGATTTGTATTAATCTGTATACTAGTATAATAAGGCGCTGTGTGAGCCCCCCCCCCCCCCTCTCTTACAAAAATAAAAAATGAAACAGATTACTGATAAAATGCTGAAACATATATGAATAAGCCTATTTTTTTAAAAAACAAAAGCTAAAATTTCATTTTCGGTAGTGGATGTTCTGCAGACGGATCGTCATTATTTACAAAATGTGCAGAACAAATATAAGAATTTTTTGTATAGTTAGAGTTTTTATGAATTAACCTAGTCTGTTGCAGCCATATTTTCTTCTTTGCATTTCTAGGAATTTTTTGGAGACTGATGACATGTCCATCTACATTTTTTCCTCTGAAATTGCTGCATATACAGCAGTAGTTCGTCTTCCGCGACCGACATCAAGAAACTGCGTTTTTGCTCGATTGTATGTCATAACATAGTTTACTTACACGAACACATTTGGTGACAATTGAAGGCCTATTTCATTTGAATTAACGGTGTTTCTAGAAATTTACATTTGAAAAATAATTGATTCACTTTATAGTATTAAAACTTTGAATGAAATTCTAAATGCATAATTTAATCTCATGTGCTCATATAACGAAGAAAGACTAATTAAAATAGCATCGACCTGAATTCGTGTTACATATGTCGTATAAAATCTGAGCTGCATTTAATCAAAGTTTTATTGTAGGATCTAAGCATATATATTCCCGAGTAAAATACACTTATTTTGTTTTAGATCAGAGAATTGACAGCAGAAACACGAAATTGATACAATAATTTCCGAGCGTATTTCTCTTTAATACAGACAACATTCTTTTCGTAAAGTGATATTTGTTTTTAAAATCCTTTCAGTGTATGTATTTATTTTTATAACTTATACTTTTTGCAAAGTGTGTAAAAACAATATCAGAGAGAGAGAGAGAGAGAGAGAGAGGCTCATGAAACATCGTGTAACTGACATACATGTACATCTGTTAAGAAACATA